CAGAAAACCGCTGAAAACCCCAGCAGGACTTTCATTGACTTAACCAGTCTTGACCGTCTTGCTGATCTAAAACACAAAATTGCCATCCCAAAACCAAAGCAACCAGATGTTGGCTCTGGTATTTTGAATTTTGAAACAGGTGTGCTGCAATGGATTGCTTCTTTGAAGCAAGTCTGTCCTAGGATGATTGACCCAGCTGCTTCTTATCAGCTCTGGTCACAGTTCAGATCTTGGGTACGTGCTGAAGCCCTCAAGTTGAAGGATATCAACTATGAGCAGGCACAACAGAACTTCAGCAAGCTGCTGAAGGAAGTTGAAAGTCAGCTGCCTCAGGAAGTTGTGCTCCCTCTGGACAGTGAACCTTGGTCTGAGAAACAGCAAGCTGCAAAGGTGCATCCATCAGAAGAAGACAAGACCATTCAGGCTGAAGAAAATCAAGCAGAGGATGTCGCTGAAAGTTCTGAGAAGCCTCCTCCTTCTGATGCTTCTCAAGCTGCCTTGGACAGGCAGACTCTGGAAGAACTAAGGCTGAATGACTTGCGTCTACAGCAGCGGATGGATGAAAACGATCAGAAGATGAAAGCAAGAATGGATGTGCAGGACAGCAAGATTGACACTGTTGTCAGCATGGTTCATAAGCAAAATGAAACTTCTGAAAAGATTCAAGCGATGCTGGAGCGCCTGTTCACACGCTTGCCTCCTCAACCTTAAATCTTTTTTCATGCATGACCTTTTTCATGTTTTCTTCATTTTCTGATGTACTGTTTTGACTATGTTTTGTAATATTTTCTTGCTCTGATTCTGAACTATCCTAATATAATTAGTTTTTCTGATCTTAATTGTTTTAGCACATCACCAACACTTTTTGATTGCTGACAAAAAGGGGGAGAACAAGAATGATATTTAAATCAATAACGGCTAACTAGACAGAAATTCTCAAACATTCTAACTCTATTACTTGAAATGTTTTTCTTCTGTTTTGTTTAAAGTCTACAGGCACAAGGAAGCTCCTGGATACTCTGAAGACTAGAAGCTCTGATCAATGTTGCTCTGATCAATATGAAGTTCTGATCGTCCTGATACTCTGATCCAAAGCAAAGCTCTGACAAGAAAAGCTCTGAAGCTCTGCTCTCTGATAAGTCAAAGACTCTGATAATCTGATGTTCAAAGAAAGAAAAAGATCTGATCCTGAAGAACACGTATAATCAAAGGGAAGTAATAAACTCAGGGGGAGTATTTCCTTACTCCTTATTCTTTTACTTCTTATTCTGATACATATTCCAGATACCTTTTCACGTTATTTTCATTTAAAATATCTAGTTTTTGTCATCATCAAAAAGGGGGAGATTGTTAGAACAATGTTTGAATCTACTACCCTATATTTAAGTTTTGATGATAACAAAGTGAAAAGATATAGTATTTATAAGTTTCATGAATGAACTATCTGCTGCCTAAAATTATTATGTTCTGACTTGCAGATACTCTGATTGATATAAGCAAGATCACGTCTATTCAGCATCAGAACTTGATTTCAGACACCAGCATCAGAAGTTGCTACATCAGAACGTCAAGATCAGATGATCAACTCACGTACATGCTGAAGCTTGATGAACAAGACTGCGCTCAAACACTCTGATATAGAAACACAATAGTTCATCAGCAGCGAAGCAGAATCAGAATGAGCCAAGCCAGAACGTGCATCGAAGAAGCAACGGTACTGTTCATTAAACGCTAATTAATTCCAACGGCCTCATTCCAGACAAGATCTGCTCAAAAAGGAAAGCTTGTTATTAGCATTGAATCAAGAATATTGCATTCAACGTTCATCATCTCAAGTGCTATATAAACAAGGCTTTGAAGATTATAATGGCTAATGCTCTCCAAATCTCTACACGCACAAAAGCTGAACCATAATCTTCGTTCTACCAGTTTTGCTAAACCACATACTCTGATACTCCATTACTATTTAGCAATCTAGTTTCTAAGCTTCAATTTGTGTATACATCACAGTTGTGATAAAGTTTTGTAGAAAACATCCACACACATTGTTTTATCTCTTTGTAAGAAAGTGTTACCTTGACAAACCGGGTTGTGGTTTGAATCAAGAAGGCTTTAGCAGTTGTTAAAGCAGTCTGTAATATTCAGTTGAATATAGTGAATTAAGACCTCGTTGGAGAGAGGCGAAATCACCTTGACGGGTGGACTGGAGTAGTTTGAGATCAAACGAACCAGGATAAAAATATCTTGTCAATTGCTTTAGATTTCAGTTTTACAATTCAACCCCCCCTTCTAGTGTTTTTCACCCCTTCATGAATCTTCCTTGAAACCAAATGAACGAATCTCCCAACCCTATCTTGAATCTACCATTAACAAATTATGAACTTAATAAGACCTTGAATCAATATTAAATCTGATCCCGATAAGAAGTTTCAATAAATCCAAATCAATAGTCATTTATCAATAATCTAAGTTAACTTGCAATTTAAGTGGCAAGTATTTGATGAGAACCAAAAACTATATCATTCAAAACAAGTCCACAATATTGAAGAAATAGAGGTTCAAGATAACCATAAGATCGAGCCCTAATCCAATGATCCCCAATTGAAGCATAATAGATGAAAACCCTAATTCTTAAGCCTTGAAGAAAGAAGCCTTGCAACTTGATGTTGAGAAGAAGAGAACAGCCCCGTAGCTTGATGATAAAGAAGTTCATGAAATAAAACCCTAGATCCACACAAATGATTGATGGAGAAATCAATTGAAACAAGCTTGTTCAAAGATGAGAGCCTTAAATCCATACAACAACCCTAATTCCTCAAAATCGCTAATCCCATGCCAAAAATTTATTGATTAATGATGCATGATGTGTTAGCTGACCTAATGAAGATTATATACATGAAAAAAATGTGAGATGCATAAGCCAGATAAAAGTAAAAGGGTAGGACAAATTTGGGGTATTACACCTGACACAACCACCCATGTTAGCTGACACGAACCGTGTTAGCCTGCCTGATACATGGATGGAAAAATAAAAAAATTTAGATTCTCAGGCCCCTGACACGGCCGACCGTGTCAATTGACAGGATCCATGTCATCTTGCCTGAAGCATGCGTGCATAATCATTTTTTTTTCAAGTGGATTAAAGATCCCTGACACGGCCAACCACGTGGGTTGACATGGCCCGTGTCAGGGGTGCGAGTGAAATTTTGTAATTTTTGTTTTACTTTTGGTGGGCCCATTCTCTCATTAAGCATCTTTCCTCCATTCATCCACTAATTATTTTGATTTTATTCACCCTTTGTGTCATTTCCTACCTTTCTCTCTCTCTCTCTCTCTCTCTCTCTCTCTCTCTCTCTCTCTCTCTCTCTCTCTCTCTCTCTCTCTCTCTCTCTCTCTCTCTCTCTCTCTCTCTCTCTCTCTCTCTCTCTCTCTCTCTCTCTCTCTCTCTCTCTCTCTCAACAAAACCCTTATCCTCCATTAAAATCTAAACATAAATCTCCCACCTTTCCCCTTATCCTCACCCCAATTCCAAAAATCCATTCACAAAACCTTCTCTATTTTTCATCCTCTACAAGGTTCCGGGGGTTGTTTTCCCTAACTTAACATTACAATTTTTTGTGGGTTTCCTCTCTTTTATGCAGATACGAAAATGCCCCAAAGAGGGTTGCTATAGAGAAACAGCCAGTGGGTGAACCATCCCACTCATGGAGGAGGGCCAATCATTCTCCTAATGCACATGACATAGTGTTCTACACCCCGAAGCATGAACGAAGGTATCGAATTCTCCTGAAGCATAAGATTACGCCAACAAGGTATATATGTGATAACACATTGGATTATTTAGGTTTAAAAGTAGAAATTCATAGGATGTTTCACACTTTGGGAATGCTAGAATTCATGAAATTTGAGGCGCTGACATATGAGCATATTACTCTAGAGTTTCTGAGCACAATTGAATTTAAGCTCAAAAACAGGTGGGCCAGTTCGACACGAGAATACTACAGTAATCTAACTTTCCGCCTGTTTAATACTGATCATTGTTGCACCCCAAAATTCCCTCCTAATTTATTGTTATCTGGCTTAGGCTTAGCATTGCATTCACATATATTTCATTAGGCCATCTGCGCTAACATAACATACGTTCGCATTCAATAAGTGCATGAGGTTCAAGAGTTCAGTGGGCATGCAAACTAGGGTTTTACTACTAACTGAGGTGTATATATTCAATAAAGTATGATTCTTTTGGTTGTTTTTCAAGGCAGTGAAGTTGTGAAATTAGGTTTCTGTTTCATGGGCGTTGTAGATTTCCTTCTCAAGGCTATTATCCTCCAAAGATTTATCGAGGCATTGATCAAAGATTTTGGGTCTCATAATCTTATCAAGTGATCAATTAGCATTATTAAAGGTTTTGGTTTATGGATTCCACATGGAATCAACATTGATTTGCCAAAATATTATTCAAGAGTGCAAAGTTAGAGTACTAATATGGATTTCTTGAAATGCAAGTTTGTTGGAATTTAAGGTGCATCATTAGTCAAGGTATCAAAGTTCATTAAAAAAACATCAAGATATCAAATACAAACATACATACATCAAGTTCATTCAAGATCAAGTTTCAATATCCAATGTCCAATTTATCATCATTTTCACAAAATTCAAGTTCCATACAAGGTTTCAAGGCAAATTAATCTGAAGTTATTCAAATACATTCATGGTCAAAAAGTTGAAGTCATTCAATTTGAGTATCGAATCCATACAAATTATAAGCGATAATTACAAAAAAAAAAATACAAGTTCCACCGAAGTTATTCAACTTCAGTGAAGCTACATTCAATTTCCATTATACACTGTAGTTTCTTTTATACTACAATATATCCATATAAGTTACAAAAAAAATCTACCCTTTGACATATTAATTATAATTGTTAGCCTCATCATGACTTCATCTTGATAGAACCATGTTATGCCAAGAGAATTCCATCTTTCTTTCTTTTCATTCCTCAATTCTCTTCAAGCTTCACGTATAGCCTTGGTGCACCAAACCCTTGAACCTGTTTCAAACATACAAAACCCGAGTTTAATACAAATAAAAAAAAACAGTTCAGAAACTTGCATCAACTCAAGAACCAAATTTACAAGCCAATTTGCCAGCTCATACTAACTGTCCATAACAATTTCCATCATTCTAACTATCACCTATTAAAACTAAGTCAACTAATTCCCCACACTTCTAACTATCCTATAACAGAAATTACACAAGTCTAACTAACTTCTAAACTAACTATGCCAGCTCATCCCATAACTGTCATAACAAAAACCTAACATATTTTTCTAACAAGTTTTGAGATCAAAACTAACCGATAATAGATCAATCTCAACCCTCCATCTTGTAACCAACTCATTTGATCCATTGACTGTGATTTCTTCACCTGTAGCAAACTATAACAGACTACATAAGGCATCATCACCTTCATTCCTCTTCATTCTTCAATTCACAGAAGAATCACATAAAACCACAGAAAATTATCTCTAAAGTACCATAACTCCCTCTGAATCTCACACTCTCTGAGCCTTATCACCTTCATCAACCATCAACCACCACCATTTTCACCTTCATTTTTCTCCATACTTCATACCTCAGATTCATCCTTTAGACACATCTTTTCCCTCATCTCCATCATCTTCTTCATTCTACATTTCCATATTTTTCACTCTTCATCCATTATCACACACATTCAATCATTCTTCACCTCCATCACTGCCACACCATCTTCTGCAACTAGTCTCTCACCTTTAACCTTCATCATCATCGACCAATCCTCCATAATCATTGCTCAACCTTTATCATCTTCAATCGCAAACCTCTGCTTCATCAACCGTCAACTTCAAATATTAATCTAATCTCAATAATAACATGATCAATATCACAATTTATGCACAACAAGGTATCTCTACATAAATTTCACAAGATCAACATCTGAAACCACAGGAAAAAAGAATCAAGAAAGGTAGAATAAGAAGAATCGACAAAAGTGGAACGCAACCAAGAAAAGTTAGAAATCGTTTACATGAAGTAAGCATATCGCTGATTGTAAGTTTCTTTTTGGTTTAATCTTCAAACATTCGAAGCAAGCACCTCTCATTATAAATCGAAGGAGATGAGCGGAGACAGGTAAAGAAAGAGATCGATATAAGAAGAAGGCGAAGGTTTGTGTGCAACATGGACCTCGTTCTGAGAAAGAAGGTGAAGCCGCCGTTGAATTTTGGAGGTGAAGCCGCCGTTGAATTTTGGAAGTGAAGCACCGTTGTGTTCTTGCTACTGTAGAGGTTCAACCATCCCAATTTGGAACCCTATCCTTCATGCATCGTATCATTTTCTTTATTATTTTATTGTTTATTTATTTATTTATTTATTATTATTTATTTTTTTATATACTTGAATCAAATAATGAAAAGTGTAACAGGCTGAAATTGGAAATCTACTTGTGTTGTTGATTAAACTGGACCAAACCACCTTCCTCCTTAGGCCCATGGATGGCAGTTTTTGGTACATCTATTAATTGAACAAAAAAGCAGCATTATGGACTATTTTTTGTTAGGCCTAGAGCCCTAATTTCAGCTTTTGCTTCTACACCCCCTGGATTCCAGTTCACCCCCCTGATTCTTACTATTTCTTCATTAAATTTAGGACTTTTTCTTTGTTAATTTTTATATGATAAAATTGTAAAAAAATCAATAAAATTTGTTAGATCTTCTTAGTTGATTTTATGAATTAATTCTTTAGTTTTTGATAGAATTTTCCTCACATAAAAAACTAATAAAAATACTTTTTCTTTTAGGTTTTTATTCAGATTTTCATACGGGCGTGCCTCGTTATTTTTAACGCGTTTGTTCATTGTGCAAAGTACATTTTGGTGCTTTCGATCATGTAATATCCTGAGAAATTCATATCATATTATATGTTGTCCTGATACATGTGATATTTTGTGATACTTTGTGCAGGAACTTCTGATTACGCGTTGCATTCGCAACACACGTTTGCTTTTATCTTAGTTGGATATCGTTTCTTACTTTGTTTGTTTCTTGGTGGAGCTTGCTCAACGCGTACTCCCTTATTCTCCATTGCTTTCGTCTGCTTTCGATGATCTGCTTGCTTTTGGTAGTCGCCGCTACTACTTTTATATTTTTCCGCACTTTATCGCATTTCTTGACTGCTTTCTAGATATCATGAGAAGTAGGAAATAAAGAGCGTATGATCGAAGTTTTTGTTTAAAGTCCTGTAGTAGGCACCGCTTTCTGTATGATATTTGTGTTTGTTTAAAACCCTACCTTTGAAGTAGGTATTCTGCACGCGTGTTTACATTTGTGCCTGCATTATTCCATCACCCCCCATGGAAGTCCTTAAAAGGAGGCGAGCGGAAAGGGTTATCAATCAACCCCCACAATTTCGTTTGTGTCATCCCTAGCTCGTGACGCACCACGACACTTTGGAGTTATACAGATATTGTGTATCGAGTCATCAGGTGGAAAAGGGTTTTGCAACTAATCCCCCATGCTTTGTCAGGAGTTCACATTGGCCGATGATGATACTCTGTGATTGTTCATATTTCCTTTTGTCTCCTACCTCGATCTTCTATAGTTTGGTTAGGTGTTCAGTCTCTTTGGACATCACATTTGTTGTTCTACATCCTATTCCCGCTTGTTTGCTTCAGGTGATCCTCTCCCCTTAGCTAAAGCATTTCTCTTCTTTTATATTTCACTCCCGCTTGTTTGTCTCGGGTGATCCGCTCCCATTGACTAAATCATTTCACTTCTTTTCTTTACCATTTTATGTGTGTTCTCTTTCGAGCTTGTTTGCTCACTCTCTTTCTATACCATGTTCCCTTAGGATGTGCTTGTTCCTTTCGGATGCAAGTTAGACCTTAGGTTGCTAGCCATGCATGCTAACATTAGGTAGACCTTTCCCTTATGTTAATCTAAACCTTAGGACCACAATTGTATGATAGCATTAGGATTAGAAATATGCTAGTCTCCTGTATACTCTTTTCTTCCCCTTTTTGCATTTGCATTTAAAACTAAAACTATCTTTTTCTTAGCAAATCATAAAACATCTTAATCATACTTAAATCCTTTTTCAATGTAAAAAAAGAAAAACCAATCAAACATGGCATCTTGTCTTGAGGGCGTAACTCAAAATCATTTTCATAAGGGTTCATCACCCATAAAAAACACAAAACAAACCAAAACATGTGAGCCAAACTACGACACTCTGTTGCCTCGAAAGGGATACGTGGGTAATAGGCCACGGGGCCTAACCGAGCAAAATTCCTAAATACTTCCATCTTTTGACCCGCATTTCTTTTACATGCATTCTTCTTCAGTAATAAGAAGTAGACATAGATTAAATACACCCATAAGATAGATAACAAGACGGGATACTATAGAGTACTATGAGTGTGTGGGGTACTAATACCTTCCCCTCGCATAAAATAATCCCTTACCCGATCTCTCGGTTGCAAGACCATGACTTCTCCCTTCTTAGGTTTTCTTGATGTTCTCCTTTCCCCTCATATGGGATAAAAGACGTTCGATGGCGACTTTATTGTTTGATGATTTTCAGCCAGTTGTTTCAATCACGAGTTGTCTATTTTTGATTTGGGGGGCATCCTCAAACTTCCACTTGTTGGCCCCGAAACTATTTCAGACACTTTTATCCCGAAATAATTTTGGACTGCGATTACATGTAATATTGTGTATGTTGCAAAAGGTGTAAAGGTGTCAGGGATTTAAAACCCCTGTTTCAGGTATGCCCAAAAGGGCCTAGCTTATACCTTGTTTGGACGAGGTGACAACATTGTAGTGGCAACTCATAGGGATTTGTTCTTATTATACTGTATGGCCCATCAGAGACATGTTAATGTGGCCGCCTTTGTGGCGGATTATTTGGGGCGAGTTGGCCGTGCATTATCCACCCCTTTTACTGTTGTTGCATGTTATTGGAAGATCCCCAAAAGTGGATACCACAGAACAAATGATCAGACACAAGTGTCAAGAGCCAACCTCCCAAAGAATCCTGTATACCCCGAGTTAAGTGGAAAGTTAAATCGCACTTGAGGCATTATGGAAGCTGTCAGCTTTACCCGGCGTGGTGAGAGCATAAAAAGCCAAACACATAATTGTCGTCGTGAGAGCTTAGTCAGGTATGTCTTTATAACTCTGAGTTTGCATACGGTCTATTTGAATATCACTGCATACTGACACACTCTAAGGCACGTTGTTTCTTTTTCACCCCCAAGCCTTTCTAACCATCCCATTCATTTTATTATCCTTTGGTAACCTTGTTGATCCTGTAGCCTTTTGTTTGTGTATTACTACATTTGTTAAACCTGAGCCTAAAATATGTCCACTATGTTCACTACCCTTGCTCAGTTAGGTGTTATGTATCTCAGAGTTGTAAAAGTTATAAGTTTGAGGTTGGTACACCGGTAATAAATTAGGTAAGTGCAATAAAAAGAAAAAAAAGAGAATCGAAACAAATGAAAGTTAAATGCTGAAAAGAAAAAAAGAAAAGAAAGGAAAAGTGAACTTACCTAAAGATTAGACTCGGTTTAGAAAACAAAGATCCATACTCAAAGGAATAGTTGAGTTGAAACCGAGAAGTCAATCAAAAAATGTGTCTGAACTATCCCATGTGATAAATACCAAAAAAGAAGAAAGTAACACAATGAAAAGAATGATAACACTGAGCTAAGCCAAAAACCATTTGTTTTCCCATTTTGTTTGTTTACCCCATTGTACCCTAAGCCCCGTTACAACCCAAAGACCTTGAAAAGTGTGTGGAATATGTACGTGAAATGAATTTAGATTTTGTTCAAACTTAAGAGTTGATATTGCATGCTTTGAATTGTGAGTGAAAACACTTTAACCCAGAGAGACTTGGTGAGAGTGTGTTATAAGCTGACAGGTAAAGTAGTGCTTTGATGTGGAAGTGTGGTAGGACACTTGAGTCGGGGAAGTGGAAAAATTTGGGAAGGAAAACGAAATAATTTTGTGAAGGATCTCGACAGTATTGTGGTAAGTTGATATTTTGGGGGTGTTCAATTCTTTGTGTCCTGAACATTTCTTGTGGACAAGCAACGAGATAAGTTTAGGGTTGTGATTGATTACCATTTTCACTATGTTTCCATTACTTATCTGACGATAATCCAAGTATTCTGCATCGCGTTGTGTCGTATTTTGTTACCGTTTGAGTCATTTTAAGGTCTATTTAGTTTCTTCAGTATTTTATGAAATCTAGTTTATTTTGTGTATTTGTGTGTGTTATGCTTTGGTTGGTTGTTATGATTGTCCCAGATTCAGGTGAAGGATCAAAGGTACTTGGTGCGATAAAGTCGAAAAATCAGAAGTTTCGCGAAAGAAAAAATGAAGTATCAGAAGGCTTGACACGACCACCTGTGTCACCAGACACGAGCCGTGTCAGGAGAGGAGTTATGAAGCAATGAAGACTTCAAGGGGCTGACACGGCCACCCGTGTCACCTGACATGGGCCATGTCAGCAGGATTGCATGTTTTATTTTGCTTGAAGCTTCAGGATGGACAACATGGCCACCCGTGTCAGCTGACACGGGCCGTGTTGGAAGATGCGTTGATTTTACATGTTTTGTGATTTTTCCCACCAAGTCTGACCCGAAAGGGAGTTTTTAACATTTAGAACCAATGCAAATGAATTTTCACTATTTGAGAGAGTTTCTAGGAAAAACCTAGGCCCCTTTTTTACGAACGAAGAATTGAGAAGATTGACGATTGAAGTTTATGCAAGTTTTGGAGAACG